AAAAAGCTGTTGAAGTGGTGGAGGAAGACCAGACAGGTGGATACCAACAGCCTGAAAGAGAGAGTCCTGGGGTCGGGACTTGGGGTGTGAAGTGAATGTGTGTGAGTGAGACAGCAGGGAACATTGAAGGTTGAGCTTGTGCATGGAATGTTCTGGGTGAGACAAAGTTTAACATGGGAACATGTAAGGACTTTCTGGAGTGACATATTCTGAGCCAAAGAGATAACCTTTCTTCTCTCTGTGTGAATGACACCGCCTCCTACCAGTCTACAACCTGTAACCTGGAGTCATCCTAGGGGTTCAGTCTTCATTGCCTCCCTTACATTCATTTGGCCATCAGAACCTTTTAACTGTATTTCCTAAACATCTCTCTTTTTTTTTTTAAATATAAATTTATTTATTTATTTATTTATTTTTGGTTGCATTGGGTCTTCGTTGCTGCGTGCGGGTTTTCTCTAGTTGCGGCGAGCGGGGGCTACTCTTCGTTGCAGTGTGCGGGCTTCTCATTGTGGTGGCTTCTCTTGTTGTGGAGCACGGGCTCTAGGTGCGTGGGCTTCAGTAGTTGTGGCGCGCGGGCTCTAGAGCACAGGCTCAGTAGTTGTAGCACACGGGCTTGGTTGCTCCGGGGCATGTGGGATCTTCCCTGACCAGGGCTCGAACCCGTGTCCCCTGCATTGGCAGGCGGATTCTTAACCACTGCACTACCAGGGAAGCCCCCTAAACATCTCTTGACTGCAGTTGCCTTGATTGAAAACCTCGAAATTGCCCTCACCCCCTTGCCCCACTGTCCTTTAAAATTCAAATCAGATCTCACTCCCAGGCTTAAATTCTCCCAGTGACTTCCCACTGCTTTAAGATAAAAATTCCTTAGTGTGGCAGGCAAGGTCCTTGGTATCTGGTCACCGTTTACCTCTGTGCTTTAGTCACATAGTTCTCTGTGATTAAAGGTCCTTGGAAAGACCTTCCACACCTTCTCTTGGATCTTTTTCAAGATCCCTCATATCTGTGGAGGTATGAGAAACCTTATTTCCTTCACTGGGAGAAATGACCATCAGAGTATGAGTAGCCCCCTGTGCATGCCCCTGGCCCAGAACTAATCACATATTTCCCCCTCTGGTCTGATAGCTCTAGACGCGAGACACTGTTTATTTCACCTGTAAACCTCAGAGCCTACCACAGGGTTTGGCCAGAGTACATGCTCAATGGATATTATTGAATGAAGAAGGAATGAGTGAATGTTGAAATCTCCTTAGCTGAGGGTAGGAATTGGGGTTGGAAGACTGTGAGTGAAAGGCCAAAGTCTTGGATGAGAGTTTACTTGCTGTGTTTTATGGGACCTGGCCATCGACACCTTCTTTTAGGGAAATTGCCTTGTCTAGTAGTCAGCTGTCCTGAATCCTGCATCCTGACACCATTCCTGTACAAATGATTAAGTTGAGTCATCCTGCCCTTCTGTCGGCTTGCCAGGGACCTGTGTGACCTGTCATGAAATGATGAGCTGGGTTAATCAGATTTTCTCCTGGGATCTGGGAATTGGAAAACAGGTTAAAATGATAAGCTCCAGGAGCATAGGTTGAAAGGATACATCAAGAATTGTCAAGAAATATTTAGCAGAAGCTGCAGAGTGGCCCGGACACATTTTTATGACCCGTGCGATGTTTTACAATATTTTGAATGGGTTGCCAACGTTTGAGAATTGGAAGGTTTCACATTGAAATCTGGCTATTTGGTTTCTCTTGTAAAATTCAAAAGTCTGATATGGCAAAAACTGAAGACAAGTAGAACACAGGGCACCTGCTTTCCCCTTCACCATGGCCTTCCCCTCGCCATATGCTCACACCTGGCCAGCTTCATTCATTTACTTTATTTGCTTGGCCCCTATAGCCATCTGACAACCAACTTGTTGAAGGAACAAGTTAGCAGTGAGGGCTTATATGCAAGCCAGGTTCACAGGGGAACAGAATCCCTAAGAGAGCAAGGAGGAAACTGGTGGGAGTTGGGGAGTAGGTGAGAAAGAGAGGATACAGCTGCTAAGAGAGGGAAACCAGTGCCCAGAGATGCCTGAGTTTCTGGGCTTCTCAGTTCTAGTAACTGCTCATGGTTACCTTCATCATAATTCCCTTTTCTTGAGATAATTTGCAATGCAATGAGTCAGGCTAAGGGAGGGGGCTACTAGGAAATTGGTAGATAACAGCAATGAGGCAAGTAAGACAGTGGTTTATTTAGATGATATTAGCCTCAAAGAAGAAATTCTTACATGAAGGTGGAATATAAATTATAAGTTGCTGTCAAGAGTTAGACTGTTGTTGACTATGTATCCTGGTTCAGAAAGATCAGAGAAGGGGCACTGAACAACCTCTGCTCGAGAGGATGTATAGTCAAAAGTATTCTCAGAGAAAATCAGAAGCATTCTGGGAAGGGCTGTGGGTATGCAGGGTTCCAGAGGGTTTGGAGGAAGGAACTAGGAAGTCTGGGGAGAAGAAATTTGGAAGAGATTTAAGTTTTGATCATTTATATCATCTAAGAGTGTAAACTGGGCCTGGTAACTAACTTTCACTGTGTGTTGAAAAGAGAGGTCTGTATTTCAGCAAACAGAGAAGGCTTCCTGAAAGAGGTGGCATCTGAGCTGCGTTTTTTTTTTTTTTTTTTTTTTGGTACGCGGGCCTCTCACTCTTGTGGCCTCTCCCGTTGCGGAGCACAGGCTCCGGACTCGCAGGCTCAGCGGCCATGGCTCAGGGGCCTAGCCGCTCCACGGCATGTGGGATCCTCCCGGCCCGGGGCACGAACCCGAGTCCCCTGCATCGGGAGGCGGACTCTCAATCACTGCGCCACCAGGGAAGCCCTGAGCTGCGTTTTAAAGAGATGAAAAGGAAATGCTTCACAGGCAGACAGAGCCACAACTGTAAAGGCTGAATTCTAAAGGGAGAGTGGGCAGTTTGCAGTTAGAGTCTGGATCATGGGGCCTGAGTCACCTAGCAAGTTATTTTTGTATCTTGGGGCCTTGGTTTCCATTATTATAAGAATAATGATATTGTAATTCTATTCTAAGACTCCATGTTCCTACCCTATCTCACTTTTAATATTTCTCAATTTAAGACGTATCTTACAATTGACACCCCAAAATGCTTGCTTTATCACAGGGCAAAGAAAAATTGTGACAGCGTTATCACTAACTAGGTATATGTAAATTTAGCCATCCACAGAAAGATGTTCATTTGATAATTGGCTTAGTTATTTGCATTGATGGTGCCATGCAGTTGAATTTTAATCTGAATCTCAAAGTGTCATGTTAGGTGTCTTCCAAAAGGTTACATTGTGTTGAGTCATTGAAACAATAAGATATTGTATACACAGATTAGTTGTCATGCATATGGAATACAATTAAATGTAGAAATGGCCAACTCTCTAAATTTGACACAGAAGTTACAAATCTAGAAGAGGTTGTTTTGACTAACTGAAGTGTCTGAGGACACTGAATGTTTAACTGCCAATAGTTTCTAGTAGATTCTAGGGCTATGCAATTCAATTAAAAAAAGAAACCAAGTTTATAAACAAAGAAGAAACATATATAATGCTCGTATATTCTTTGAAATGTCTCAAAAGTATGCTGTTACTTTCTAAAGTTGATGAAGAGATCAAGATATAACCATACGTTATGAAAAACAGCATGCCATCATGCTATACTTAACCAGATGGTCAAAGGGGTTATTATATAAGACTTTAGGCAGTGGAAGTGCCTAACTTCTGCTATGGTACTGAAGTGGAAGTTAAACCTATGGAAGTTAAACCTAACTTCTGCTTATGGTACTGAAGAAGAAAGTGGTACAATTATGATAATAACCAACATTAACTGAATGATTACTATGTGGCACTGTTGACTTGAGTTCTTATCTATTCAGCCTCAGGACACTCTGTCAGATCAGTGGTATTATCTTCATTTTGCAGTGAGAAAGCTAGCAGGCAAATCCAGGAAGTTTACCTCCAGAGCCACTATACTGTTCTAACCCTCCCTGTGCATTTTTACAGGTATGGTTTTTAGGTTGAGTTTAGAAGTATATACTTAAATACAATGTATCCATGGTACTTTTTACTTACATGCCATGAGTCCGTGGCATCTAAGAATCAGAAGTAGGGGCTTGTGGGATTATTGTGGGGATCAGAAGATGAGAGTATCTTACAGTGGCTCCTAGAAAAATCGTGTATCAGAGGGCAGGTGTTGCAAGTTGAGTAAATGAGCCTGCATTTTCAGAATCCTATCATCTTAGAGCTGGCAAAGGCTACTGAGAGAAAGGCGTCAGTAAGGAGGAATGTTTTCTGTGGTTTTGAGAACGGTTCCTCCACACAAAACGCCCTGCCTCCCCCATCTGTCTAAATCCTTCTGATCTTTCCATGGCCACCCCAAATGCCAGCTCCTTCTGAAAGTAGTCTCTGGTTATATGAAAATATTTATCAATACATGGGAGATACTTTCAAATTATTACGTGATGAAGCCGGTAAGTGAAAGACGGATTTTATCATTAAAGTTACCCTCGCTCCTCTCCTGGCCTCGGTTTCTCTAAACTGAAAGGAAGTGGTGGCTTAGACCATCTCTTCCTTTTATAATCTCTACTCTTTTACCCTTTTCAGATTTCTGCCAAAGCTGCCTTGAAAAGCAACTCTCCTTCCTCAGACCTGCAGGCGGCGGCTCCTCCTTGTTGGCAGCTCAGCAGGGCGGGGCTGGAGAAGCAGGAGAAGAGGCGGGGGCTCCGGGGGAAGCGCGGCGCGCAGCCACGTGACTTCCTTCCCGAGGAGCCTCAGCTGCCGGCCTCCCAGCAACCGGTTCGTCCCGCCTAACGACGCCCGCGCATCCTGGTTGGCCCTTGGGACGCATTTGGCAAGGAGGCTCCCACGGTCGCGCCGCTCACTGGCTTCCGCTACCGTCGCTCAGGCGCGTTGCCCGAGCGCCCGCAGGCAGTGCTACCGGAAGCCCCTCCCAGTGGCCGTCGTGTTCGTGGCTGGCTGGCTGGGGCTGTCACTCCGAGTCGTTTCCCTGAGGTCGGTCCTCTGCTGGGGGCGGGAGGAAGAGGGGCAGGACTGGGGCCTGACGAGCCGTCGCTGCCGCCGCTGTCTTCGCGGCTGCTATGACCAGCGGGCGAGGCGCCCTCCGCAGCTCTCCGCAGCGCTAGTCGCGGCCGTGCGCCAGCCGTAGCCGTCTGGGTCCCCAGCGCAGCCGCTCCTGCGGCTCCCTCGGCTCTTCCAGCGCCGCTTGCGAGACGAGGCGGAGGCAGGATGAAGATGACGGTGGATTTCGAGGAGTGTCTGAAGGACTCGCCCCGCTTCAGGTAGCCGACGCGGCCGCCTGGCGCCGGGCCGGCGTCACCCGGAGGTGCCTCCTCCGGCGGTGGGGGCGTGAAAGGCAGACCGCGGAACGCGCGGGAGGCCCCGTAGTCCGCGCCCTCCGACGGGGCAGGCTGCGGATGCCGTCGCTCCCGACCCGGAGAGGGCACGACAGCCCCGACTAGCCCTTCGTGAGGGGCGAGGCTGAGCCAGAGGAGGATGTTGCCTCCTTATCCCCCTTCCTTGCTCTCTGCCCGGGGCGGAGCGCCCGAGAGGCGGGGCGCACCAGCTCCGGGGAGCTGGGATGCAGTCGCGTCCCCGAAGACTCGTGCCCTTTGCGGTGCGCGCTCTCGTCCCCTTCCTTTTGCCGCTTGTCCTTTCCCCTTCCTTCCGCTGCTTCTTCGTTTCCACCCCCACCCCAGCCCCTCTTTGAGGGAGCTTGCAGGGCACCCTCCTGCAGTTCACTTAGTTCCTTTTACCCCGAGGGTGAAGGAGTGGGGGGCGAACTGGGATGTCGATTTATGCTGCTGGCGTGTCCCCTGCCAGGGGGGGTCTCCTCGGAAGGCGCTGGCGGTTGATTTTGCACGGGAGTCGGGGGTGGGAGTCCTTTGACCAACAGCATTCTGTTCACCTTGGTCCGAGACTATAGGCTTTTCTTTACACCTAAGCTCTTTGGAGGGGCACCGCTGTCGAGAGGTACCGGGCTGAGGGGTGAGGACTAGGAGAAACAGTGCATTTCTGTTTTGAGAACGGAAGTAGGAGGGCCCTGAAGATGGCATTTCTGTTCCTCTTCCAGCAGCGTCGGCCCGGGAGGGCCCCCATCACCGTCAGATGCTCCCAGTGGATCTGTCACATAAACTGACGTGGTGGCGCTCCGATTCACATGGGCTGGCCACCTTGCCTTGAGAGAGGCGGCAGTCCTGAGGGTGTCCAGAGCACAGACTCTTTCGGTTTCGGGCATTGTAGGAAACTCTTGAATTGTTTTGGAGAATGGAGTTTTGCTAGGTTGTGTTTTGCAGTGCATTTATAGGGCTGTCCTTAGGCCTTAAAAATAAGGCCTTTAGAACTTCCGTTAGATAGTGACATGTCTTGAAAGCGTCCCCTGAGCATTGGTGTGTGTGTGCCCGCTGATCTCTGGGCCAAGCCTGGGTTGTAAATTCCTGCATCCTCTGCCTGGGAACTAACTGTCCTCATCGTTATCACTGTTAATTTCATTTGCCATTTTCTTTTCAGTGAAAAGCAAAGAAAACTATTGTAAAACTAAGGAACTCCTACTTCTAAGAGAATGTCCTTTGATTTTTTTTTGTTTGTTTTTTGGTGTTAATTTTATTTGGAGCTTTGGGCTATTGCTTGTAAAAACGTACACCTGATTTGATTGTTGTTGTTGGTATTAGTTTTTAAAACTTACATTGTGCGTGATTTGATGGACTCAGAGGAGATACAAATGGATTGTTTAGGACAGCTTTGCAAGTTAGATTCCAGGACTGTGTGGCAAAGGAAGTAATTTTTAAAGTGTACCTTAAAAAGTTCTACTTTTTTGGTGAAATTGTTGTTAATATTACTGGGTAACGAGGTAATCACGGCACTTTTTACCTAGAGAATGTGGCTTTGTGCTCAGTTTGTTTCACAGTTTAAATTTCATTAAAAAAAAAAAAGGTGAGAGAAATGATTTGGAAATGCTTCTAATCCCTGGTGTTGGTCACAAACCATATGCTGTCTTTGTTTTTAAAATAAAAGAATCATTGAATATAAAATAAGAGGAAAAGATACTGATTAAGTCATATGGAATATTATAGTGAACGTTTGTTAGACTTGAATGTAATTTCTATTCTATATTAATTAGGATGTTAGGGATTTTCTAGAGTTGTTTCCGGTATTCCAGTTGCTGTTGGCTGCAAATTGGGAAGACAAACCAAGATTCAGAGAACTCTAATATCTTGTATACATTTGTGAGACTAGATTAAATTTGCAATAGAGGCAAGAATGCCAGGAAATAAAAGTCTCATCATTCACACTTCTAATTTTTACAGTTTTCCTATAATCCCATTACTGTGTAGGTTTCTATAGCATTTGAAAATAATGTTTCAGAAGTCTTTTTATTCACATGCCTTATGTATAAGTGAAACTTTTAAAAGCATTGTGCACTTTATGAGTGATATATTGAAGTGTTTGTATCAAAAGAGAAGATTTGTGGCGGCTGGGCTTGTTTTTTTGAGAGCAAGGCAGCTGTACTATTTATTCCTTGTAGTGTCCTGATCTGTTGTGCTGCTTTAAATCTAATTCCTATTTTTATTATCCTTCACAAATGAATCTTGTGGCGTTAAAGTCTGGTATGTGGACATAACTGCCTTGAATGTTGTAGAATCAATGTAAATGGCAGCTCTTGCTGAAGAAAAATTTCATCAGTGTTCAAGCTTCAGACATTAATTTTCCTATTAAATTGGTAAGGAAACAGGAAGACTGGTTGAAATAGGGAGAGAAGGATGTTGCAGTTGCAACATTGTTTTTAGTAATTTGAATAGGCAGTGGTTACTTTTACATTCCTGTGAACATTTTGTTTTGTTCTGAGATTGGAAGGCACATTTCATTGTGTAATTTTGGGTTCCCTTCTTAGTTTTTAAAAAACCAGCCTAAAGGTCAAAATCTTGTTCATTTAAAATCTGCAGGAAAGTGAATGCATCTAAGTGTACATTTCTAAAGTGGGAATTATCCATTTTGACCAACATTTGTTGAAGAAGTTTGAACTTGTTTGGGCCCTAAACTGTAAATTTATAAAATTTTTATAAAAATTGTGTTTTTTCCTTTATATAAACATATGGTTCACTCAGGAAGTGAAATTTTGTTTGAAACAAAAAGTTGAATTAGTGCTTTTTTTTTTTTTTTTTTTTTTTACAGTCCAGGTCTTTTATTTTCTTTACACCCATCATGCCATGAATTCATAGGGAATGGGCTCCAACAGTTCAGGCTTCTTTCCGTTGGTTCTCACAAAGTGTGCTTCTCTGGGTGGAGCAGGCTGGCGCTTCAGTTGAACCCAGTTACCTTTCTCTTTGGCTTCCTCCTTTTTCTGATCATTTTCCTTCACCCGTTTCAGGAAGCTATCTCGGCTCTTAGAATGCTTAATATGCTCAATACGCACATTAATTCTCTTGGCGAGAATCTTGCCCTTAACTTGTTTGTTTACAGTGATGCCAAACAGCATGCTGGGTAACATTGTAGACTCTCCCAGTTTTGCCATGGTAACATTTGTGGGGCATTCCTTTTTGAACAGTGCCCATTCCCTTGATATCTACAATATCACCTTTCTTGTAGATTCGCATGTATGTGGCCAAAGGAACAACTCCATGTTTTCTAAAAGGCCTAGAGAACATGTAGTGGGTGCCCCTCCTCTTTCCCTTTGTGTTGGTCATTTTGGCGAATTACTGGAAGATGGCAGTTCCGCTAGTGCTTTTTTATTTTTATTTTTATTTTTTTTGCGGTACGCGGGCCTCTCACTGTTGTGGCCTCTCCCGTTGCGGAGCACAGGCTCCGGACGCGCAGGCTCAGTGGCCATGGCTCACGGGCCCAGCCGCTCCGCGGCGTGTGGGATCTTCCCGGACTGGGACACGAACCGGTGTCCCATGCATCGGCAGGCAGACTCTCAACCACTGCGCCACCAGGGAAGCCCCCGCTAGTGCTTTTTAAAAAAAAAAAAAAATTATATTTTGGCTGCTTTGGGTCTTAGTTGTGGCACGCGGGACCTTTTGTTGTGGCGTGCAGGCTCTTCCTTGCGGTGCACCAGCTTCTCTCTAGTTGTGGCGTGCGGGTTTTCTCTCTCTAGCTGTGGCACGTGGGCTCCAGGGCTCGCGTGCTCTGTAGCTGTGGCGCGTGGGCTCCCGAGCGCGTGGGCTCTGTAGTTTGCAGCACGCGGGCTCTCTCGTTGAGGCACGCGAGCTCAGCAGTTGGCGGGCTTAGTTGTCCCGGGGCGTGTGGGATGGAACCGGAGTTCCCTGCTTTGGAAGGCAGATTCTGTGCCACTGGACCACCAGGGAAGTCCCAAGTGCTTTTTGACTTGTGGAAGATTTTTGCTCTAATTCATTCCTCAGATATAAAAATATTGAGTCTTTATCTGGTACATTTATTTTTTATCCTTAACAATGTTTATTTTGCACTGTTCTGAAGGTTTTTTGTTTGATTCTATTTCAGATATGATCCTTGTTCAGCAACTTAGGATAAAAATCTTAAAAAGATGTTTTAGGGTGAAAGGTTTTAATGGTTGAAAGACATTGGAACAAATAAATAAATAAATGCACACATAAGTGTGTGCACGTGCACACACATACATATAATGTTTTGCTCTTAAGCTGGTGCCAATCCTGGCTGGTTTGCCTCTTTACCTTCCATATTTAGAACCGGTATACACTCTTTTAACAATTGGTACTTTATATACATGGAAAATACAGTGGGCAAGAGATGAAGCAAAATGTGTTTTTATTTCAGAAGTGGTAGAATGGCATTATAAAATATCAATAGTTTTATCATGAACCAAAATACAGGAACCCAGCTACTCCTCATTGCAGCTTCTAATTCCTCATTTAATGTAGTACCAGCATAAGTTGAAATAAGGAAGAACAAGCTTTTATAACATACCAGACCTTATACTAGATGCTTTTATAGCTACCATCTCTTTTAATACTAAAATATATTACGATGTAGGAATTACTATCTTTGTTTTTAAAATGTTTAAAAATTACCAAACTGGATATTTTGAGAAGTTAAACTGACTTTTTTTTTTTTAAATTTTATTTATTTTATTTTTGGCTGCGTTGGATCTTTGTTGCTGTGTACAGGCTTTCTACGGTTGCGGAGGGCGGGGGCTACTCTTCGTTGCAGTGTGCGGGCTTCTCATTGTGATGGCTTCTCTTGTTGCAGAGCATGGGCTCTAGGCACGCAGGCTCAGTAGTTGTGGCACATGGGCTTAGTTGCTCTGCGGCATGTGGGATCTTCCCAGACCAGGGCTTGAACCCGT